AAAAAGAAGTGTTCAGAATTGTTCGTTTGAAGACAATCAAATATAAAAATAGATGGACAGATAACAAGTGATTGAGAGAGATAAGAAATTTATATATATATATATATATATATATATATATATATATATATATATATATATATATATATATCTATATAAAAATGAGAACGAATCGAATACAAAGGGCTCAATAAAATAGTGGAGCAATATTCTTTATTTTAGGATATTAAATCAAAAAATGTGAATCATGTTTCGATGTGCATTAACGCATCTCATCAGGCGTTACTAACGCTTAATGATAGATAGATAGATAGATAGATAGATAGATAGATAGATAGATAGGAACAGACAAAGAGATAATAGATAGATGAGAACAGGCGTAGGTATATAGATAGTGAGATAAAGAAGATATATATATATATATATATATATATATATATATATATATATAGATAGATAGATAAGAACATAGATAAAAGAGATAGATAGATAGATAGATAGATAGATAGATAGATAGATAAGAACAGATAGAGATAGATATATAGATAAAGAAGAGATATAGATAGATAGATCGATAGCATAAATAGATAGAGAAAAAAAGAAGAGATATATTCTTTTCTTTGTTACCAAAGAGATCCTCCTGTCTAGCGATACTCTGCCCAGCTTTTGGAATGTGTCCTTGGTCATCCCAATACGCCCACGGATCCCAGTGTCGCACTTGCCGTCCTCTGTCAAAACAGTTCCCAGATATTTAAATTTCTGCGTCTGCTTGATTCTAGTGTTCCCGGCCTGCAAATCGCATTTCGGCCACACCCTTTTACTGATGACCCTGCATTCTGTCTTCTTGTAGTTTATAGTTAGTCCCTTCTTCTCGCTCTCCTTCGCTACCTTCTGTAGGAGGTTTTGTAGTTTCTTTTCTGTGTCTGCTATCACTACTGTGTCGTCTGCGTATCTTATGTTCTTAAGATTGTGGCCTCCGATGCTGAATCCTAGTAGGATTTGCAATTCTCTCAGAACACACACACACACACACACACACACACACACACACACACACACACACACATACACATGAAATGTCTGGGAATTATTTTAATGCATTTTCGGTTTGTACGTTATTTTTATAGATACAAATATTTAAGTAAATGCTCTATTTATAATAAACAATATTACCAACATTTACCGGCTTGAATGTCCGAGAAATGTCATAGAAAATATGTGTCCTCCGACACACAGAACCGTCATCTGTATATATATATATATATATATATATAGATGTATATGTGTGTGTATATATATATATATATATATATATATATGTCTAATTGAACAAATTACAGATATTATGTCTGCTAATTTTTAACAAAATCCGTTCATACTCACGAATAACCTACTGTGTATTGATATTAAAGGATGAGAGAAATGTGCTATACCTGTTTACATTTCTTTTCTTTTTTTTATTTCCCAAGTACTTTCAATCTTCCTCCAAGATCATCTTCATGGGTGCAAGCAGTACAAAACTATATTTTGTTCAGTGTAGCACATTTCTCTTATCTTTCAATATCAATACACGAAAAGATTATTCGTGAGTATGAACGGATTTTGTTAAAAATTAGCAGACATAATATCCGTAATTTATTCAATCAGACATGCCTAAAATAGAATGTGTTGCCTAAATACAAAAATTTATATATATATATATATATATTAAAAACAACAGATATTTTATATATGTATGTATGTATGTATGTATAAGATATATTTAGACAGATTTTATTCACCCAAACAAGTTTGATTAAAAAGAACTGACAAGGCTTGTCTGCATGATGTACTATTTTCCGAGTATTGAGTATTGTGCGCGATGTTGTGGATAAACTGTCCAAAGTTCGTATTTTATTATTTTTATCATTTTTGTTCAAGTACTTTCGACTTTCGCAGTCATTACCAAGAACAGATGTGGTGTCTGTTTGGTAGTTGCAATTAGATTGGCTGCATCCTGGTAGTCTTAGGGAAGCTGGACGTTTGAAATGGTTTAACGTGACGTCATGTGTAAAGGCTACTGGAAACGAGGCCGCACAAAAAGAATCCGATTTATTTTATTTTATTTATTTATTTATAAATTATTTATTTATTTTATATTAATGTGTGCTCACATTAATTATATCATTATGTACTTCAAGATACCATCTTCTGTGATGAATGATATTTTATCTAACATGGACTATTTATTTTGTATGATAATAGCTTCTCGGATTTTCAGTCTTTCCTTGCATTGGGTACTGTAGAGTATTTTAGTGTTATTTAATAGTATTTGTCTTCTGTTAGTAGTTATATTTTGGTCGTTCATGATGTAATGGTCAATGTGAAAATATAATAAAAATAAAGAGACATTGTCGGTTCTTTTTAATCAATCTTGTTTATATATATATATATATATATATATATATATATATATATATATATATATATAGACAAACAATAGGAATTAGGATTACTTCATATTATTGTTTATGATCATTTCACCCTATAAAGTAAATTTATACAGATTTTCAAACCCATCACATATATATATATATACTACCTTAAAAGGATTTTGTTTTCAAACTCATCATATATGTATATATATACACACTTAAAAGACGCCGTATTGGGCGGCATTTAAGTATCTCCTACGGAGGGTTCTTGAATGGGCCTTCATCGCAATAGGTAGAGAGGAGTAGATGCGAATAGGCAACAATAAATCACAGAAGAAATCAAAATTAATCGCCGCATTTAAGTATTGCCTGAATAATAATCTTACCTTTTAAAAATTCAACGATAATCCTTCTCCTGCCAATTAATTTAAAGGCAATTTGATGTACGTAGGTCCTTACTTCCGGTAAAAACAATTATTTTTCTTCATGGGTGACTTTCGCTGGATTTCACAATTAATTTCGATTATTCCCAAATTTATTTCCAAGTTATAAAATTTGTTATCATACAAAACATTTCGTCGCAAAAAATCACGCAAAAAATCGCCGAAAATAATGGCAGTAATGAAAACTTGGGAATCCAAAATTTCAGGATTGCGGGTCCAGATCAGGAGGTCACAGCAGGAAGAGGGATCATCGTTTCAACTTAGAGCTAAAGAGATCAATTAGAAAAGATCCAACTCAGTTCATAAGACGTTTGGCATGTGAGAGTGGAGTTCCAGCTATGACAGTCCCAAGAGCAGTGAAAAAAGACTTGAAAATGCAATCGTACGTAAAACCTGTGAGTCGCCTTGTTATTCCACGACAGAAAGTTAGAAGGTTAGAGAGGGCGAAGATCATCTTGAATAAGTTGGAATATGATCCTGGAATAATATATATATATATATATATATATATATATATATATATAAACTTTATTTCAATCCTTGATAAACTTCCGATCTTTAGCTATGATTAACTAATGAACATGTCATTTTCGTTTATGATCGATTTCATCACAATTCTTCTATTAAGCATGGAGAGTAATTATATATTCTTATTGATATTGTAGAAGCCAATAGTGTTATAAAAAGCTTAGAAAATCCGGTAAGATATCTTTAATCATTCCTAAGATACAACGATTCAGAGCTTCATCTAACAATTGGACAATTTAGCTACAGTAAATTGAATCGAGTTCTCTCAGTCACTGTGTGTTTATCTAAAAATAAATACACTTAAATTCACCTTCATCCCTGCCGTGCGCCAACGGCTTAGTGGTAGAATCCCCGTTTGAGGCCAATTCAGTCGGGTTTTGATCCTAGCTAGAGGCAACTGGACGTCTAGCCATATTGATGAGCTGTGATACAGCGAAACAGTCTGTCTGTGGATGACAATATATATATATATATATATATATATATATATATATATATATATATATATATATATATTCTCCCCACTACTCGTCGGTGTGTTTGCCCATAGTAACACATTTTGTCCTAATCATTCTAACCTATTTGATGGTCTAGTTAGAAATCCCGTTTCGAAAGAAAAATCAGAAAAAGGGGAAAATTGAATGTCTTTGGCTAGATGCGAAAGTGTCTCGTCAGTATTCTCATGATTTAGTGGCCGACTATTCTTGCTTGATAAAATTTCTGAACTTGGAATTGTTTTCGCCACCATTCTTTCTCCTGTTGTTCTTAATTTTTATTGAAAGCATGCCTCCCAAGCCCACTATTTGGTGAGGGCGGTGGATTGGCCGTTGATCCCCACCCCCCACCGGGTCGATGCTTGGACTTAAGGTAAGCTGTACATTCACTTGTTATCATGAGGAAAAAAGCGGACTAACACTCGCTGCCACGTATGTTGGGGCATTTATTATGATATGGCAATAAATCCGGATAACCTTTTCTTCAATTTCTTTTTAGAATAGACAATGGGACTTATACTAAGTTAAAACTTAAAACTTAATGTTGCGAAAGGGTAAATGCAAGTGTCAGCCAGGACTCTTTGCAAATTACCTCCCCCTCTCATCGTTACCTCTGTTTTTGTTGTTGTATGTATTATATGTAATAGGATTAGGTAGGCTTTCCTACCGCCCGGTCCACACTTCTCCCCCTTCTCTTGGACATGAGTAGAGGCTTACGCCTTGTTTCTTGTTTAGGAAGGAGTTTCCGGTACTCTTCCCCCCCTCTCTCTCTCTCACTGGCCTCTTTATCTCCAGTTGCGTTGATCTATCCACTACTCTTCTCCTCATCCTTTCTTCTATCACTCCTATCTGACCTTGTTCCAAATTTTCTGTAACCCCTTGCGTCCTAGTGGCTTTCCGCCTTGCTTGGGGTGAAACGCTTAAAATATATATATATATATATATATATATATATATGTGTGGGGGGAACTTCGATGTGGTAATAATTGTTAGCAAGATTGTCTCACTCGATCAATTATGACTGAATAGTGAGTTCCATGGTCCCTGGTCCATAATTTCGTCCTTGTACCAGTGGCGTGCAGAGGTTTGGTGAGGTTTCTTTGAATGGATGCCCACTCGCTATGAATGCCCGGGCCCGTCGCACTCCCTGCGCCCCCAAGTAACTGCCTTGTAAATCACTATATATATGGATGGCTGATCACTCGTATCCGAGAATGCCTGTCTATCCCTGTTGCAGACGCCTGCTCAGGCACATTTGTATTTTTTCAACGCCCATAGAGCCCACCTGTGATTTATACTGCAACTACACCGAGTGGATCTTAGATACAGCTTCTGGGAGAGAGCGCGTTATCAAGGCCAGTACTCTCAGATCGTCAGTCACGATGACTTGCGACTTTGTGCTAGCGCAACCAACGACGGCGCCCGCGTATCCAATTTCACCTTCATAAGGCTTGCGTCAACCAGTGGTATGGTTTTCACACACTTACCAGAGGTATCGCACCCTGGGAACGACCCCCTCCAGACCGATAACATCAAGAAGTCACCTTCCTAATAAATCGACCATGGTGAGATTCGAACCCGGGTCTCATGGTTGGAAAGCGAACGTTCGAAATTGAACAATCAAAAAAGGAAATTGATTTGAATTGGAAAGAAAATTGAATTTAAGGAAACATGTTCGTGTATATATATATATATATATATATATATATATATATATATATATATATGTGTGTGTGTGTGTGTCATTCACAGACAGAACTGTTTCGCTGTATCACAGCTCTTCAGTTCGACTAGACATCCGAATGTTTCAAGCCCGGATAGAAACCCAGCCGATTTGGTGTCAGTCAGAGTTTCTACCACTGAGTTATCTTCATTCGACAGAGAAAACCAGTTAATTCTAGTATATTGTTTTTACGAATATAAACAAATGCCAATCAGCCGGAGTGCTCCAATTCATTTTATTGAAGAGCTTTGCATTAACGTAGGCGGCTGTTGTTTATTGAATTAACCTATCACTCAACAGTGCTCAACTGAAAAATATTTTCAAGAGCTAAATTATATCTAAACAATTTTTGTTAAATTATATTTTTTTTTCAATTCACTTCCATTTTTTGTTATTGTATTCATCCAATATCCGAATGAGATATTGTATATCGGTATTAAAATTATGAATAAACTGTCCAACATCCATATTTTCTCTTGTTTTCTTGAAGTACTTTCGATTCTCTCAGTCATTAGTAAAAACTGGGTGTTGTCAGTATGGCAAGGAATTTTTTCCATTAAATCCTGGGGTTTTTAGATCACTGGATTAAAATTGGAATCAATTCAAAATGACGTCACATATCAATATAATTAAAAATCAAATAGACTTTTTTGGAGGAATTGAACAAATCTTGTTTGGATGAATTTTTGCAGCCTAAATTCACCTTGGATAGATATGGCAAGAGTTCAGATTTGTTTAAAGACAAACGGAAATTCTTTAAGGTTTAAAAAAATTGGTTTGGTTCGAACCACTTATGTGATTTTACGGAGGAATCTCAACATATATTGTCCCATGTCTTCTGACTGCTTCCACCATTGATAAGCAATTACGAAATATTTTTTTGGGGTGGTTTATAACTTTGTGCCTTTAAGCAGGTATTGTGCTTCTTTGGGGGTTTTCGAGTTGCACATTTTTATGCGCCAGTAGGTGTCCGGTCGGGATTTTGTAAGTAATGCATGTTTGGTGTTCTTTTTTTTTTTCTTCTTTTTTTTAAATAAGAAATGTATTTCATGTGGTTGTTCCTAAATTGAATGAAATTTTTATGATGATGGATTATTTACTTTTATGCTTAAGGCTTCTAGTATTTGTAGTGATGTTTTCCAGTTTATATGGTATTGTATTTTTATATGGTATTGTATTTTTATATGGTATTGTATTTTTATATGGTATTGTATTTTTGGATTATTTGCTGCAATTTGTTTTAGTTGTATTAATTTATTTTTATATTTGATTAGCTACAATTTTTGTTCCACTTTTTTAAAAATATACATTTTTTACTCCAGATTTTAAATTTTCATTCTCTTAAAATATGCTAATTAATATTTTCATCAGTTTAGGGATTATTGATAATTAACGTAAATGTAAATTCTGAGCAAAAAGCTTGTTTTTTCATTTTTTAAAAATAAAGTGCTCCTTTCTAATTTATTTCCTAATTTCTTTTTTTTCTGTTGTAGCTTCTTCTTTCTTTTTTCCTTTTCCTTTTTGCACTTTTCATTTCTTTCATTCATTTTCTTTCTTTCTTTTTCTTTCTTTTTCTTTTTCTTTCTTTCTTTTTTTTTTTCTTTCTTTTCTTTTCTTTTCTTGCTTTTTTCACCTTTGTTTGCTTTCTTTCTTTTCCTTTTTTTTTTAAAACTTCATTCTGTTCCATTTTTTTCTTTCTCCTTTTTCTTTTTGTTTGCTTTCTTTTTGTTTCTTTCATTCTTTTTTTTTTTCTTTCTTTTTCTTTCTTTTTTTTCTTTCTTTCTTCTTTTTTCACCTTTGTTTGCTTACTTTTTTTCTTTAATTCTGTTCCATTTTTTCTTTCCTTTTTATTTCTTTCTTTTTTCTTTCTTTCTTTCTTTCTTTTCTTTCTTTCTTCTTTCTTTTTTTCTTTTTTTCTTTCTTTTTTTCTTTCTTTCTTTTTCTTCTTTCTTTCTTTCTTTCTTTTCTTTCTTAGGCTTTTTCACCTTTGTTTGCTTACTAGTTTTTCTTTCCATTTTCTTTTTGCTCCTTTTCCATTTTCTTTCTTGCTCCTTTTTTTCTTTCTTTTTTCTTTCTTTTCTTTCTTTTTTCTTTCTTTTTTTTTCTTTCTTTCCTTCTTTCTTTTTCTTTTTTTTTTTCTTTTTTCTCAGGCTTTTTCACCTTTGTTTGCTAACTTTTTCTTTGTTTCTTTCATTCTTTTCCATTTTTTTTCTTTCTTTCTTTCTTTTCTTTCTTAGGCTTTTTTCTTCTTTCTTTGTTTGCTTACTAGTTTTTTTCTTTTAATTCTGTTTCCATTTCATTTTCTTCTTGCTCCTTTTTTCTTTCTTTTCTTTCTTGCTTTTTCTTTTTACTCTTTTTCTTTTAATTGTTTCTTTTCTTTCTTTCTTTTTTTCTTTCTTTCCTTCTTTCTTTCTTTCTTTTTTTCTTTCTTTCTCAGGCTTTTTCACCTTTGTTTGCTAACTAGTTTGTTTCTTTCTTTCTTTTCTGTATTCTTCTTTCTTTCTTTCTTTCTTTCTTTCTTTCTTAGGCTTTTTCACCTTTGTTTGCTTACTAGTTTTTTTCTTTAATTCTGTTCCATTTTCTTTCTTGCTCCTTTTTCTTTCTTTTCTTTCTTTTCTTTCTTTCTTTCTTTCTTTTTTTTTTTCTTTTTCCTTCTTTCTTTCTTTCTTTTTTTCTTTCTTTCTCAGGCTTTTTCACCTTTGTTTGCTAACTAGTTTGTTTCTTTCATTCTTTTCCATTTCTTTCTTTCTTTCTTTCTTTCTTTCTTTCTTTCTTAGGCTTTTTCACCTTTGTTTGCTTACTAGTTTTTTTCTTTAATTCTGTTCCATTTTCTTTCTTGCTCCTTTTTCTTTCTTTTCTTTCTTGCTCCTTTTTCTTTCTTTTCTTTCTTTTCTTTCTTTCTTTCTTTCTTTTTTTCTTTCTTTCCTTCTTTTTTCTTTTCTTTTTTTTTTTCTTTCTTTCTCAGGCTTTTTCACCTTTGTTTGCTAACTAGTTTGTTTCTTTCATTCTTTTCCATTTTCTTTCTTTCTTTCTTTCTTTCTTTCTTTCTTTCTTTCTTTCTTTCTTTCTTTTCTTTCTTTCTTTTCTTTCCTTTTTTCTTTTCTGTTGGTCGACAAAAATAATGGATTAATGGTCAGGTCTCCGGTGACAAGTGATTAAGACAGACATTAATTGACAATCATATTGAGGTTAGCCGCAATGAAGGAAAACATTTGTTGATTGTTACTGATAACCTTTTTTTTATGTCAGATGATTTAAGGTCTTCACTTAAAGATTTCCACTACTTGATCCACCTTAAACTACCCACCCCCACCAATCTTTTTACTTGTACCTGAAGGGGGAATCATTTCGAAATTTTAAAGGCTGTAAGCAATGGGGGGAAAAAGTTATCCCTGGTCGAACTAAAATAAAAGTTTGGTTTTTAAATGCAGATTTTTAAGGTACACAATCAAGTCTACCTAATTAGGGAGAATAATGAAACACAGTCGTTTTCCCCTACTTTAGTCTGATTGATAAGGATTTTCTTAAATATATTTATATGTGATCTATGCTTTCCTAATGTCGTTTCTTGGAAACCCGTCAAGAAAAGTTAAATTCAAATATTGTTAAGCATCATATGTGGAGTGAAAATGGTGCTTACCACATCGAGAAGCAAAAGTAAAAATAGCTGACAAGGAGCAGCACCGGACATTAAGATGGTCGAAGGAACGGGCATATATAATAATGGCCAGCCACTCTCGTTTTCTGTGCACATTCGTCTTTTAGGGAACCTAACCAATCCCTGTTACGGGCACATGCTCAGACATATTTGTGTTTGTTCAACATCCAAAGAACCCAACTGTATTTTGTACTGTAACTATGCTCAGCGGACATTAGTTACGGGGAAGAGAGAACACATAATTTGTCATGACCAGCAGTTTGAACAACGTCAGTACGCTCATACCCTCGGTCACGATGACTTGTGACTTCGTGCTAGCACAACCAACGACGGCTTCCGAATAGTTTCACTAACATGACATGGGTCAACCGATGGCATGGTTTTCAGGCACTTTCCAAACGTGTCTCGTGCTGGGATGTCCCCCGAGACAACAACGAATAAATTATTCAGTCCGATAGCATCAAGAAGTCACCTTCCTGAAAAATCGACCATGGAGAGATTCTAGCCTGGGTCATTTTAACCACACGGTCAGGTGACCATATACTGGCACATATATTCAAACCATGAGATCAGGAGGCTAAGCATATTATTAATTTATGGAATGAATCTAATAAAAATAGGCTTAGGAAATTAAAACAAAAGTAAAAATAACAAAAAAATACTAATTTTTGTTATAAATACTTTGTTATTCTTTTCTGATGATGTATTTTATTATGTTGCAAATATTAAGGCAAATACCCTTGGGAAAGATATGAATTCATTTCTTCCCCCCAACTATGGGTTGAATAGCTGGTTGATAAAAAAATAAAAGTCTAAAAATTTTTTTAAAGATTTTCAAGGTACGCAACCAAGACTGCCTGATTAGGGAGAATAATGCAACACAATCCTTGGAAACCCATTCACTCTAGTTTGATTGATAACGATTTTTATGTGTGATCTGTGCTTCCTTGAAGAAAAACTGCGTCCTATAGCCTTGGTTGGCAATCAGTCTACCGAAAGAAACTGCAATCTTCTAAGGGAACATCTGCCTCGTCAGTTATGAACCGAAAGAGACATGATTGTCCAAGCCCTTATCTCATATGGTAATTAACTGTATGATTGACCAATATTGAAATATTGACCAAAAAACTGCTAGATCAGATGCTTGAAATAATGCTAAGTAACCGAATGTGGCATATTTAAAATTAAATACCTATGTTTCAAGAAAACATTGTTCCAGTTTTTGTTTTTTTAAGAATAAAACACTTGTTGAAATCCGGAGTCTATAGCAGCCGAGAGGTCGTGAGAAGAAAGCAACGAACGGTAAGAGAATTAATCCTAACATAGAAATACAATGAGTATTGTCTAAAAATGTTCGGACAAATAATTTATTGGATTGCGGGTAGGCTGTGTGCAGACAAGTATAATATTCTGATTAGAAAAATAGAAAGTCAGTACAGTTGACGTAAGTTGCCGCTTCAAACGACTGACACATGCCAAAAGGACATCGGATCAACGAGACATGGCACCGGGAATACAATTGCCATAAACGCCAGCAGCGAGACAATGAGATAATTATTAAGACAAAGGAACACGTTGACAGAATTAGATTCAGGTGAAAGGATACACATCTCTGAATTTTCTAAGAGACTTAAACAGATTGGACTTAGTCCTTACGCGTTTAATGTCATATGAAGACCACTCGATTGTCCGTTCGTATATGGATTCAAACAGAAAAAATAAACATGGGGGTGCTGAAATGTAATAGGGCGGCGTTTATATATATATATATATATATATATATATATATATATATATATATATATATATATATATATGTAAATATAAAATTAAAACGAAATATGGTCCACGACCGCTTCTTATAATATGTACATTTAATAGGCCGGTTAATGAAATTTGATGAATAAAAAGCCAAATAAATGATAACATTATTGGAAATAAAATTGATGATATTTGTTATATATTAGCCTTTTGACTAAATTGAAGCAGAAAGAGAAAGATTTTAAAGTCAGAATTTTCTTTTCTTTTAATCACACACACACACACACACACACACACACACACACACACACACACATATATATATATATATATATAGATAATATTAGTGAAAAATATACATACATATGAAAAATATATCTAAAAAATTCCCATACATGTATATTTTCAGAAAAAAATTTTCCAAGAGGAAGGATCCAGGTAGAACTCAATGTCTAGGACAGAGTAGTGATATAATAAAAAGGCTTAAACACTAATATTCCATGGTCATAATTTAATTAATGGAATAAATTATGACCATGGAATATTAGTGTTTAAGCCTTTTTTATATATATATATATATATATATATATATATATATATATATATATTAGCAGCATGGCCCGGCGTTGCCCGTACTTGATTCAAAAATCGTACGACTCATACAGCAATCGCTATCACTTGACTTAAAATATTTTTTGCCCTTCCTTGCCTTTAAAGGAGTGCCTTTTCCGTGCTGATGTTGCTACATGCCTTACTTCTTGCCTATCTCACATTGCGAATTTTTTCTAAGCTCTATACTAAACATTAAATCTGTTACGAAAAAAGAACTAACCAAAATTAACACAAAACGATCAGCTTTAAAAAAGGACTCGGAACTGGAAAAATCGAATGAAAAAAAAGAATGTTAACAACAAATACTTTTTCAAACCCAACGCAGTTCTGCGGAATCAGAATCAACGTTGAGTTTAAGCAAGCGAATGAGCCAATTGGAGTAAACTTCCATGCAGATTTAAATTTTTCCCACTTGTGACGAATGCAGCAAACGCTTTTTTTTTGCATGCTATCATGCTAGTTAACATTCGTGTCAGTCAGCTGTTGGTTCTCACGCTGGCCAATAGAATCTTCCTGCCTATTCGATGCAACCAGCTATAGGCTCTCACTCTGGCCAGTAGAAAATGGCCTCAAACTACATGAAAACTGCCGTAGAAACATGAAAAAATCGATTATTTCCACTATCGATGGGAGTTGGGAAATACAAAGTCGGTCTTGGCCTTCCCGCTAACTTGGAGCATGTGCATGTAAATTTTGGAGCTAATCCGTCGACATTAGAAACAGAGAAAAAAATGAGATCAAGAAGCATCAAAGAGATGATTATTAGCAGAAGTAGACATCGTCATCTTTGAGATGTGCAAAAGCACAAATAGCCTGTATAATAAAACCTACTTGCTTCCACTCATTCAAAACAATGGTGTTTTTTTCTTCTTTCTTTTTTAAGCAGTTGGGATGAAGAAATGCAACCAGTATTTATACAGTGTCTAAAATATGCTTTTTTTGTTGTTAATAATTTAATATTTTTTCTCTTTTAAGATTTAATAAGTTTAAAATCTATTTCCAAACTGTAAGCTTGATTTTGAGAAATAATCCACATTTAAAAAATGCATTCTCTCTCTCTCTCTCTCTCTCTCACTCTCTCTATATATGTACAGTGGGGGAAAACAAATATTCATATACATACAAATTTTTAATTTATTGTATTTCCAACTATTTCTCTCTCTCTCCCTCTCTCTCTCTCTCTCTCTCTCTCTCTCTCTCTCTCTATATATATATATATATATATATATATATATATATAATGGGCTTGTTAATAAAATTTGAGGAATAAAAAGCCAGCAAAATGAAAACAATATTGGCCATAAGGTTGATGATATTAATTATGACTAAATTGAAGCACAAAAAGAAAGAATTTAAAGTCAGTTCAATAAGCATAAAATAAACCCACCAAAGACGACAACAAAAACATTTTCCCTATCGATGCACACTTCAACATTTCATAGCATTGGTGTCATCCGATGCGAGTTTTTAGCGTCTTCATTCAACAGCCAACAAGAAAGACGCAAATCGGAGTTGACATGTATTTTCAAAATTAAATCACATATTGAACGATTAGACAGGGATTTAGGTTTACTCAGAGAGTTTAATTTCTACAGGGAGCCTTTTAAGCAACATCGACAAAATTCTTCGGAAAAGTAAGTCCCACTTCTTTGCTTGTTCATCAATTCGTTGAAAAGCGCACAGGCGTATCCAAAAATTCCGACTTTAAAATATTTCTCTTCGTGCTTCAATTTAAAAAAAAAAAAAATATCATCAATTTTATTGCCAGTATTTTTTTATCATTTTGTTGAATTTTATTAACTGGCCTATAAAATCCACACACACACACACACACACACACATATATATATATATATATATATATATATATATATATATATATATATATATATATATATATATATCCCTTATCCATGGTAATCCCGGTTATTTTAATTGGAAAATATAATGTTTTGAGAAATATAATTTAAAAAAATTTCTTTGAGGAATTTTTTGAAAAAGTTTTCTAAAGTCTTATAGTTTTTTTAAAAACTGTGATCCCAGTATATATAATGTTTAACTACGCCAGCATTACGGTAAACAGATATATTTTTAAAATTCAATTTTAGTAACGGTCAGTCCAAACTCAACACCTGAAGATTGCGTTTTGCATGAAACTCCGAGTCGTGCTATCTGTGAGGGGTAATATCTATATTTATTTATATTTATATATACTCAATATCTCTATTGTATAACATCGAAAACCGTTTTTAGTAATACCAGAACTTTATGTGCAATGTATACATACATGCATAAATACATGCATACATATACATACATACATATATATATATATATATATATATATATATACATATACATACATACATATATATATATATATATATATATATATATATATATATATATACACACACACATACACACACATATATATATAGAGAGTGAGAGACAGAGAGAAAGACAGAGAGAGAGAGAGAGAGTCCAGCAAAAAATTCTACACACTTCAGGGGGGAGGGAGAGAGAGAGAGAGAGAGGGAGAGAGAGAGAGTGTGAGAGAGTCCAGCAAAAATGTCTACACGCTTCAGGAGACAAAAACTTGTATAGATATTGTAATACTAAATTTATTCAGACATCACGAGATTAATACAAGTTACCTTTGGACTCTACAATCACAAGAATTGTTCAAATTGGTGGAATTTAGCTTCCAGACATTTATTAGTACGGCGAACTATTGCTTGGGAAACGTTGGCCAAAGTGTCCAGTGGGATTGTTGCTCATGCATTTTCAATTTCTTGTCTAAGCGTCGCCATCTATAGAGAAAATATCGTATTACAGTAAAGAGTTTTATTGCAATTGGATAAAAATACGAAAGACAATTTTGTTTCATTCCTGAAATGTGTTTACATGTTTTGTATTATACTCTGTTTATATTACTTCAAACTTTATTTCTAGTGCATACCCATATTTGAAAATAGACGCCTTGTTTTATTTTAAACGGTATGTATTACATTTATTGGCCTGCACACTCGAAAAATATTAATAAAGAAAATGTGCTCTCTGCCAGGGTACAAAACTGCGCCTCCATTGTAGGAGAAACCACCATTTGATCCGGGGTGCCTTAGACCGCTCGACCACAGAGCCACACCCTGTTATATGCCTTCGAGATATTCAAAGCAGCAGCCCGAACGTCACCATTCTCATATATATATATATATATATATATATATATATATATATATATATATATATTTGGAAAGAAACTTTTGGCACTTTTTTTGTTGTGTCATATAAGTGCCTTATATTTAACAACTGATCACAAATTGAACGATGGTAATAAATCCCTGCATTTTCGATGGAACAACCCCATCAAGCAGGCAAGTTATAAGTTTTCAATAAGAGTAGATAGGTTAGCCTATCGTCCTGTTCACACTCCTCCCGGTCTTTTGAACAAATTTTTTTCCTGTTTAGGGTTTCCGGTTCCTTCTAGTTTTTTTTTTCTCCTTCTCTTTCACTCCCAGTAGATCCTTGCATCTTAGTAGAGTTATCACTTTGTTTGGGGTGAATTGATTAAAAAATACCATGGGCACAGAATTCTTTGTGTTTTGAGACAAAAGGCCATCCCTGTTTATATTTTTTTTTTAATATCATCATATTTGGTGGATGGATCCTCACCCAGAAAATGCTTTAGAATCAGAAAAGGTGATTAACTGACAGATTAAAGTCCTGAGAGTAAAACTTCTTTATTCAGAGCCCAAAACCTACTCTTGTATATTCTTTGGGACCTGTTTATCTTGTGTTGTTATACGAGAGTAACACACTTTTCTTATTGGTCCATGAAGTATAGCGTAATTCATACAGTTGAAATCCTGAATTGACTGTTTCATTACGATTCAAAGTTTTATGATAGACGACACGCTTCATATCCAACCAAAAACAGAAAACTTCTAAGAAAGAAAGCATAGTCAGAGACTTTTCTTGGATCGTAATCATTTATTCATTCACTTAATCTAATGATAAAGAACCCGGTTTTCATGGCTGGGGATAATTTATTTCCCAAAAATGCTTCGGAAGTGTGTGTGTGTGTGTGTTTTGTTTTTTCTTAACAAAGAATAGATGTTACCTCTTTGATCAACTTTAGAAAGCCTGAACGCAAAAAAATAATTTACAAAAATTATACCACTTGGTCATCTTTAGTTTCACAGATGTTCGCCAGATGGCAGTGGTGCTTGGTATCATTGTACTATGACAGGCATTTGTAGTCTGTAGGAAATTTATCTTTCAGTTCGGGGAAATCAAGGTTTCTTTATAATTAGTTGCTAAATTGGCGCCATAACTGCACTTCTTGCGATATGTTTTGGGTATTCACGATCGATTTATTTGATTTGGGGTGAATGACGGCCTAAACTTATTCAATGTTTCCAGCAAAGACCAACATTAATTCTATACATTGACATCGTTTCGAGACATGCACCCAAATTTGAAGACGTTCTCTCTTTCGTGTTTAACAGTTGTCCAAATACAGTGAAAGCGGAATTCTTCAATTTGAATACTGTCAACATCTTCAACCAGGCAGATAGCGCTTTCATTTGTATTAGGCGGTTTAAATACCGTAATTATTCGTGTATAAAACGCATTCCTTTAACGACGAAATTAAGAAAAGATACGCACTTAATTTTCAAATTTAACATTTGCTCAACATTTTTTTCTTTATACGGTTTGTATTGACTAAAAATATGAATCTTGAATATTTTTTTAAAAATATACCGTCTGGTCGAAATTTCACTTTATCTCCCCATATTTACTACAGGCTACTGTCCTATGCTTCAAATATGTTAACTTATT